AATCAAAACCACAATGACATACTACTTCACACCTGCTAGAATGGCTATCATTAAAAGACAGAAAGTAACAACTGCTGAGGCTATGGAGAAACTGGAACTTTGATACACTGCTGGGAGGAAGGTAAAATGGTACAGCCACTCTGGAATACAGTCTGGCAGTTCCCCAAAGGGTTAAACACAGTCACTATATGACCCAGCAATTCTACTCCTGGGTATATATCCAAGAGAAATGAACACAAATGTCCACACAAAACCCTGTACACAAATGTTCAGAGCAGCATTATTCACAATAAGCAAAAAGTGGAAACAGTCCAAACATCCATCAGCCGATGAACAGACAGATAAAATGGAGTATATCCTCCCAATGGAATATCATTCAAAGACATAAATTAAGTACTGATGGCACTACAACATGGATGAACCTTGAACACATGATGCTTCTTGAAAGAAGCCAGTCACAAAAGGCCACATACTGTATGATTCCGTGTATATGAAATGTCCAGACGGCAAAGCTATGGTGACAGAGAGGAGACTGATGGTTGCCTAGGGCTGGGTGGTGGCAAAATTGAGAGGGACTGGGAAAGGGGTGATTGCTAAAAGGTGCCGTGTTATCCTTCTGGGGCGGCCAAAATGTGAAACCGATTGGGACGGAGGTAAGACTGCGAAGACACTAAAAGCCACTGGATTTTATACTGTAAATTACACATCTCAGTAAAGCTGTTACAATTAAAAAATAAAGCAGAGCCTGTGTTCAGTGAGTAGATAACTGAAACATAACAATAAGAGTAAAAACTGCTAATATAACTGAATTACATCCTCTTTTTTAGTATCTCCTCCTTTTATTTGCTCAATTAGTAAATCAAAAGTCAAATCCAAACGGATCATTTTACCAGTCTCTACTTGCAAGAAGTAATAAGGATCTCTGTCAGCTCCATGCTCATAGAGCTAATATAAACTTGGGCAGTATCAGATCATAACAGAATTTGAACTTAGCTTTTCTCTGCAATAAAGAGAAACAGGTTATCCTTAGGATGACAGAAATTTTAATGCAGAAATCTTTCTAGCTAGCTGCCAGTTTTCCACTAACCTCAGGGAAATATAAATGAAAACACTAACACATTTACAGATTTAAAATCTGTGTTTCTGACAACTGTGAAGAGTCCTGAAAGTCACAACTTAGTCATCTACAAGCTAAGCTGGTGTGCAGGGCACTGAGGTCGTGAGCAACTCTAGCCAACAGCCCAGCACCTCCAACTCAGCTGGCGGCACCAAAACATTTATGGATCTGCAGCGGTCTCAGGAGAGAGCCCCTGCAAATGTCATGGGTCAATTATGATATCAATCATAAATGAGAGTAAGGATTTCCCTGGTGGCGCAGTGGTTAAGAATCCGCCTGCCAATGCAGGGGACACAGGTTCGAGCCCTGGTCTGGAAAGATCCCACATACCACGGAGTAACTAAGGCCATGTGCCACAACTACTGAGCCCGTGTGCCACAACTACAGAAGCCTGTGCGCCTAGAGCCCGTGTTCCGCAACAAGAGAAGCCACCGCAATGAGAAGCCTGCACACCGCAATGAAGAGTAGCCCCCGCTCACCGCAGCTAGAGAAAGCCAGCGTGCAGGAACAAAGACCCAACGCAGCCAAAAAATAAATGAATTTATTTAAAAAAACATAAGACTAAGCAAAATACATTCTACTATTTACAGAGACTACTCTACGTATATAACCAAATTTCACACAAATTATGTACAATTTTCTATGCCCACAGCCCTACAGACCTTATGATTTTATGAACACAAACTGTTTTCTTAGATATATCATAAAGTTTTGTTGTTAAACATTAATTCTAATATTATAATATAAAAAAAGAATTAATTTTACGCAGCCTAAAAAAAAAAAAACAGTATTATTGCATTTTTACCTCAAAGACAATAAAAAAAAAATGTGAAAAGAAAACCAAAAAATGTATAGGCAGGTGTTTCCTATAAGAAGAAATAATGTAACTTATTGTCAAAATGTTATGTGCATGCTCTTTTAGAAGATTAAGTTTGTTCAAAACCTGAAAAAAAAAAAAAACTTAAACAATACTGCAGTAGAGGATAAACACATGCTGGTTCCTGCAATACAAATCCAAGAATTGCTCACCTGGACATCACATAAGAGATGCACTGAGACTCAGAAGTCCCATCTCTAACCTGACATACACACAGAACTGGGCTGTACTAGCCTCTTAAGTTCCAGAAAATAAGAATAAACCACACTCCAAGTGGAAGGTGACACACACCCACCCTTACCGAGACAGCTAGCAGATAAAATCCTTCTCCATTCGGATTGCCTGAACACACCCATGCTTCCCCACACGTTATCTTTACCTGCGACAGTGAGTTAACAAGTACCCAAGCCACCAAAAAGCAGGGCTGTGAGAGGCACGTGTCCCAGGAAGTGTAACAAAAGGGAATACTTAGGCGACCGGGGATTCTATCAGGCAGATGGCTTTAATTACTACACTTCTATAAACTAATTCATTACAGTCAGTAGGACACACATGAAGACAGCACAGCACTTTTAAAAAATCAACCACAAAAGCACTGTTAACCTTGTGCCAAAAACATGCCCAACCAAAATTGTTCTACCTTCTCTTTCTGAAGATAGTGACTACATTCTCATTGAAATATAGATGGGAAGATTTACTATAAACCACAATCAAATATTTGACACCCAAACTCCAAACGCCACAGCAATCCGCTTAATACAAGCACGTGAACGTCTAAGTGAAGAGGCGCAAGCACGCAGGGAACCTGGGGGTAATCACCACTTCCCAGCCAGCCCCAGCACAGCAGATCCTTTGCCGGGGGAGCACCACAAACATGAAGGTGGGCATGATCTTAGCGTCTGCATGATCAGTCCAATCAACTATTTGGGGGTCAATAAAAGGAGCTAAAGACACTTCACCGATAGTCCTTGCTTCTGAAGCAAATTTAGTTACCCAACCTGCACGTGGTTAAAAGGATTTCATTGCAAATTTCCCAAAGCCAGCAAATCAACCAAACAAGGTATCTTTCCTACAATGTTCTATGTCAATATCTCAATAAAAATGGGGGGAAAATAAAACTAAGTAGGTGCCTTTCCTGAGATTGTCTGAGGGGCTTATTATGTGTGACATCTACATTTTTAAATGTAAAACTATTACACATATTTTGCTTACATAACCAGTAATGATACTTTAACTAAGGCTCAATGAAAAAGTAAATCCCCAAATTTCAGATGACACCATAGTTAAGCTTTTCCTTTTTTACATTAAATAGAACTATGGTTCAATTATTTAAGTTTATTTAAGTAATAATAACCATTATGTAATTCCTTTCACAGACTCTCCAGTTTTCATGCATGTTTACAATATATCGGTTTAATCTAAGTTAAATTATTATTTGTAGTAAGTCAAGGCTAAATTAGACTAATGCATTAGAAAATAATATATGATAGTAAAGTTGCAAACAGTCTAATCATCACATGTTATATGTGGATTTCATTTATCAAAAGTGAGCCTTAAACAAGCTCATCAAAACAAAGCAATTAGTTTATTTTGCCAAGAATCTGTTGTCAAAATTTAAGCAAATAAGTGTATAAACTAAGTTCACATATTTACCAGTTCAGTTGTTTGTAAAAAGGTAACAAAAATAATATATGAGGTAAAACACAGTTTATTAAAAAAAAGATTCAAACCATTAAAACAAATATTACCATAAGAAACAAGGGATTTTAGTTTAATTCAAACTGAAGTTTTTCCACAGATCAATCCACTTACACAAATTGGCCACCAAAGCCTAAACAATGATCTGTCACCTGAAACAGCTTCGATGTAACATAGTCTTAAGTGTGACAAAAAAAGTCTTACTATTAAACAGTTTTTCCTAACAAAGAATCATTTGTTCTAGCTGAGTGAAACTTTCTTCGAATGTTATTATTGCAAGTTTATATACTATATATGACTCTCATGTAAAGAACCATATTAAATTCACCACAAACTTTAAGTCTTATTAGAATTTTTCCTACACAAAATAGCTGTCAACTAGCCACAGAGCCATCTGCAAAACTTTCACTTTCACTAACAACCATAGTTGCTGTCTTTGCTTTCATATAAAAACAAAATCAGTGAAATCAGAAATCACACCCAACAACGCACTCAATATTGGAAACCTGCCCTCTCACCTCTGATGCACACCACCACCAATTTAAACGACAAAAACTCCACACTGGCCTGGTTTCAACACTGAGTTCACATCAAAACAGAAAGAATTGTCTTAAAACCGCCAAACAGCCATCTTGCAACTACGGCACCAGATGCAAGATACTGTTTAAGGTGGGAGATAGTTTCTCTCCTCTTTCCACTACGTACCTGCACGTCATTAATCATTTCTGGGCAAGCACGTTAACTTCCTATAAGTAAACTCAGACCAGAAAGTTGAGGGTATGTGGTCATAAAGGAAAGAGCGTTTTAAATTCAACCTGCCTCCAATCACCCGTTCTGACTCAGTCACAAGCCATGACGACAAGAAGTAATGTAAACCATGAAGAACACTGTTTAATGTTCCAGCACTTTTAAAAATCAATTTCCAACAGGATAACAATTGAATAATTACCAAATAGCAAATATTTTAGCCATGCTGTTATTGCACCATTGAAGAAGTCATTTAAAACCCTCACGCCTCTTTCACTAAAAGGTGACTGTATTTGTTACCCTATAATTTCACTACCTTATTTTTATTGCGTTACTCTGTTTTTTGGTGACGCCACTCTACCACTGCAGACATACTTCCGGAATATCCCATTTCTGCAGAGACAACCACCACCACTGTCTTCCACAATCATTAAAGTCCAAACCACCATGATGTTTTTACTAACTAATCAGGCTACAACAACAATAGTTGCGCATCAGACCAACAGTTCAATTACCTTTTCCGCAAAAGATACAAATAAATAAAAATCCGTAAGTACTTACCTACAGTTGGGAGGTGGGTCCAACGTAATTTCTGCAAGTTCCTTCTGAATTCTTCAAAATAAAGACAAAGAAAGTTACATTAAAATGTCTTCACTCTTTTAATATTTCATTAAAATTATACTTTTACACTAGTCTTTCCCGTTTGTATGCTTTTAATTTGAAATACTAATACCGTATAAATCATCATATACAATACCAACAAAGTAGTAATTTCTGCCACAGTTTTGACAATGCTCCTACAAAGAGTAATGAGACTGGCCACCATCGGTGCTTGCAGCCTGTGTTAGCAACACTATAAGTTCAATGAAAACTTCGTTAAGCCACTGCTAACACTAACCAAAATTTCTAGTTTAAATTGGAAACGTTTGCCACACTATTTATGGATCATTCCAACTTCTGCTCTGTACTAGAACATCCCATATAGGATGGAAAAATGATCATATTAAGTTGAATCCAAGCATCCTGACTGAGCCAATCAACTGGTAAAGAAAGGATTATCAAGATCTCATTCTAACACCCAAAACCGCTATCAAAGTATAAGTGGTATTATTCCCTGAAGCCTCTAGGTTGGAGCAAGTTGAGGTTTTCAAGTTTCAATAAGCCTTACTAGAATGCCTTCATTTTAATGTAACTGCATGAGCTTTGTGCAAAGGGGGGAAAAAAAAAGAACTTTTATTTTAAAAACCTGTTTTTGCCCTCATGAGTTATTTTCATCTTTTATTTTTAACTGCACCTAACCCCCTATACATATACAAAGGCTAACAGTGCTACACTGTTTTGTAAGAGTATACTTAGCAACCTTCTATCATTCATGTATTATTAAAAGTAGGCTTTGTTAAGCCTAATTTTTTTAAATTCTCAAAACCATTTCTTCTCCTCTGCCTTGGTTTTAAAATATGAGATTCACTAACTGCTGGATGCCTGCTCTTCTGGTAATGACAGGTGACTAAAAGCACCATAAAAAAATAAGAATTTTAACAAAGACATTTATTCTCAAACAGTTTCATTCTGTGCCTTTTCCAAGACAACCAACGGAAGCTCAGAATTGGTGCAAATCCCCCAGAAGGACTGCCACTAACCTCCCAAATGAAGCGCATGGTCCAGATGTAATGGTCACTTCTCTAAGCCATGTGACTCAGGGTTGGGGAGGCATTATGAAGTAGAGCAAGCCTAACAAATTTAAAGCCAAAAAAACTATTAATTCTGCTATCCCATTAATTGAGGACTCTTGGGCAAAAAGACTGTTCACACCTGCTCCCTCTCTTTAGGCCTCAATTTTCTCTCCTATAAAATGAAGAGGTTCTAACTAGGACAAATTCCATGACCTCTTATCGTTAGAACATATGATTTCCTTCTAATATGGACTCTGTGATGTGTTTATATGCATTTAAAGTACATATGGTCCAGAATTAAATAAGAGAAATCTCAAAGATCTGATACCCTTCGTAGATTTCACACAAAAATATAAATAAAACAGGCACTTGAAAACAAAATGGGTAAGTCCAGGTTAAAGACAGCAAACTGAGAACACACACATTCACCTCCCTCTCCTTCAGGACCCCATGGTAATGGGGGGGGGGGAGCAGGTGGAGATACAGAAAATGCAAAAAGGAATAAACAGCAAAGAGAAGGTGGTGGTCACCAAAGGAGGAGAAATTTCATTGTATTTCTGGAAGACAAAGCAGATGGGTGTAGATCAAACAGGTTGAGTTGGTCAAGAGGGGACTGCGGAGTACATAAAGATTAAAAAAGACCTACTATTCGGGGAGCAGGGAGAAAGACAGTCAGAAATCCCAGAAGAGATTACATTTTCTGCCTAAGAAAATCGTAGATCGAACAGGAAGGAAACTCAAACGTAAAATAATTTTAATCATGTAACAGATATTAAGGCATAAAACAGAAAGATTTGACCTATTTCACCTAAATGCTATGACTCACTGGGGAGCCCTGAGATCATAACACTGGACTTAGAGGAAATCTAATCCTAACACCGTGTTTGGTGTGGCACTAAATATTTAGGTAAACGTACAGACAGTTTATTGGCCTTTTACTTACAGATAAAGCACAGAAGACAGGTTGTAGTTGCACTACACAATGAAAACGTTACTAACCTTGAAGATGTGAAATTGGGTGTAGCTAATAGAAACCAACAAAAAGTGGATGGGGGGCTGTGAGTAGATGGAAAGAAGAAAAAAGGTACTAATATCCCCATTTTACAAACTAGGGAACCAAGGAATACTGTTGAAATGTGAGGGAATAAGAAATAGTGGCTTAACTATATTATTTAGTTTAGAAAGACAACCAATACTCTTTCTTTTAAATATAACTATCATTAACCGGGAGGAGGGAAAAAAAAGAAAGCAGGTGAGCAAGCTACATCCTCAAATTTCATAGCAAGGAGACAAAAGATATTATTTAAGTTAACAATTCAACAAGCAGGTATATGCATAAGATTTAGGGTTGTGCAGAAAACCAGAAGCAGGACAAACCAGAGACAGCTAAAGGAATGCAACTGGGACAGGGAGAGTGTTTCAACAGAAAACTGTTGCTTGTCATTAAAAATGTCTCTGTGCTGTTTAATCTGTTGCCAGAAACATGAATAACTTTCATAAAATTTTTCTATTTAAGTACAGTTGATTTATAATATTGTGTTAGTTTCAAGTGTACAGTAAAGTGATTCTGATATATACATATATATATACGCACATACCTATACGTGTGTGTGTATACACATATATATACTTTCGTTTTTATTCTTTATTTTATTTTATTTTATTTTATTTTATTTTGCAGTACGCAGGCCTCTCACTGTTGTGGCCTCTCCCGTTGCGGAGCACAGGCTCTGGACGCGCAGGCTCAGCGGCCATGGCTCACGGGCCCAGCCGCTCCGCGGCATGTGGGATCTTCCCGGACCGGGGCACGAACCTGTGTCCCCTGCCTCCGCAGGTGGACTCTCAACCACTGTGCCACCAGGGAAGCCCTATACTTTCGTTTTTAAAATAAGAGGACCAAAAGAACAGGCATTCAAAAGAGTATGCTTAAACTGTCAAAGAAAACTATTTTTAACATAAAAGAACTTCTTTGGGATCTTCAAATAACTCATCTTGCTTTATACTTATACTGTCCCTTTTGGTTTAAAAAATTGATGTCATAATTTTGTCACATAATTCTATAATGGAACTTGAAACCCCTCCAGAAATCTATAATTCTAAATCTAATTATTCAATACAAAAAGCAATTTATAAACTTGCAATTGATAAACCTGACAATTCTACGCAGGGAGTCAATATACTATAATATATTTGGAGCCACTGCTACCAAAGAATGGCTGTATTTCTCCTGACAGAAAAGATTATACGAAGAATTGCTATTTAAACGGTTGCAAGACGTCCTGCTGTTTTCAATAACAGCAATTCAATTCTATCTCAAAAGTTGTAATCATGGTATGTATTAAGTTTCTCAGTCTTGACACGCGGGGTAAGGAAGGCAGCTATTTCAGGCACTGTCCCTTAGGGTGACGAAAAATGAAAAAGTATCAATAATTCACACTTACCGTGTACCTTTTACATGATGATCTTAGGCTATTAAAAGTGAATTAAATAAATCTCACAGAATTTTCTAAGTATTACCGTTTTATCAGTCCCCATTTAGGAAACTAAGGTTAGTAACTGTACACTGGTAAGGTGAAAAGACAAGCAATTATCTTGCTAAGTCAAATAAACAAAAAGACCTCTCCTCTCTCTTATCAGAACTTTTAAGACAAAATCCTTTCTTGAGACATAAATCAACTAGACAATTGCCTAACTCGAATTTCTGTCCGGCAGTGCCACTTCCTTAGTCGTTATGATACAGAAGTCAGTGACTGCACATGGCTACGGAGTCAAGTCAGAAGCAAAATGCAGACTAAATTTCAGCTTGTAAGACTTCACCCAATACCTTAAATGTTCCAGGAATGGTAAGAGTATTGCACGTGACTGTCATCTGCTAGAAAGAAAGGGGAGTGGAGTACAGGGGCCACAATCATGATTCATTCAGCCTTGACTGAAGAAAACGGCACCAAAACGACAAAAATGGAGGCAATATGAAACATTCATTTTAACACCAACATATTGGACTTATGGTTCAGAAAAATGAAGCGGTGTATAGGTACTGACATGTTTAAAACACAAACATATTTTAGGCTAAAGAAAATTCAGTAACTTACTCAGGGCCAAGCAGGACATGAATATATGACATGGGGATTCGCAAAGGTGTTGGCTTAACAGTTATTATTTTAAAAAACCTTCATCCACTTAGATGACTTTCTATATTCCCCTACCGTCTGCATTCCTCAAAACCTTCCAAAATGAACTCATTCTCAAGAAGAAAACATCATGCAACTAATTACTAAAATTTTTTATATCTCAAAGTAGTCTCTGAATTAACCCAGAAAACACAGAGCCATTGCAAGCAATAAACCCAGAGTTTACTTCTGAATGGTGATACACACCACGCACCTGTGAATCCAAAAGACCACTGATTCTTAAGACACCCTAAATTAATGATTGTGCGCATCAACTGTAAGATGCATCCTGATTTCAGGAACGTTAAAAAGTTTTTAAATGCACATTCAGAATCAAGAAAATACAATAATCATGAAAGATTATCTATAAAGAGTATTACTTCATTCTTATGTGGAAAACAAACTTAGATGAGCCCATATAATAAAAGTTCACATTGGAATACATGTACACTGAAATCAACCTTTCAACCTAACAAAAATTTAGAGTCTAAAGCTAAGTATCATCCCTAGGACAGTATTATATTGTATCCAGTAAAATCACAATGTCCACTCTGAACAAAGGTAGCATGCAATAAATGTGATTTAAAATTCACATTTACAGGGACTTCCCTGGTGGCGCAGTGGTTAAGACTCGGAGCTCCCAATGCAGGGGGCCCGGGTTCCATCCCTGGTCAGGGAACTAGATCCCACATGCATACCGCAATGAAGAGTTCGCATGCCACAACTAAGGAGCCCGTGAGCCGCAACCAAGGAGCCCACCTGCCGAAACTAAGACCCAGTGCAACCAAATAAGTAAATAGATAAATAAATATTTTTAAAAATTCACATTGACAGTACAGTCAATTCAATGAAGAGCTCAAAATAGATGTTTTATTGAATTGACTAGTCCATTTAATGAAATCATCAAAATTTGTTACTTCAGGCATAGTCCAACTACAAATAAGACAAATATATATATACAAAACAAATATAATTAGAGGTATAGCAAATATACCAAGAGTGATACAGACGTTATCGAGAGAACAGACCGTGATAAGAGCATGCCAATTTTTTAAGAAACAAATTCAAGCCAAAGAGGAGCAAAAATGCATCAAAGAAGTAACTAAAATCTCCCTCTTAACTCTGAAGAAGACAGAAATTAATTTTTACCATAGTTTAAATAAAATTCCCAGGAATTCCCTGGTGGTCCAGTGGTTAGGATTCTGCACTTTCAGTGCTGGGGCCCAGGTTCTATCGCTGGTCAGGGAACTAAGATCCCACAAGCCGTGGAGCACGGCCAAATAAGTAAATTTCCCATTTAATATTTTCTGTATCCAATATTACTTTTCTGTAATACCTGAAAACTGAAATTTTTTTTCAAGAAAACATGTTTTCTACACCTAATTATTAATTCTACAATTAAAGCACATTTTATGCAATTGAACATCTATGTGCAAAGTACTTTTCTTGAGTTACTATAAAAATCTGAGTTTTTCTAGTTTAACAAACAGCGTTAAGTCCTCAGAGTTTAACATATACCTCATTTTCCTAAAGTTTATCAAATGGACTTGGAGAAATATCACTGTAGACTTTAACTGGCTGTGAGGATGGGACCGTTATTATCCCCATTTTACAGAAGATAAAGCTGAGGTTTAGAAATGTTAAACTATGCATCTAATATCACAGAGAGACTAAATGCCAGAACCTAGAATCAAACCCGGATCCAGATGATTAACTCTGGCTCACAAAAGGACACTATTTGGAAAAGACGTCTCATCTGAATAAAAATCATTTATCAATAACAAGTTAGAATTTTATTTTGAAACTGTCTCTAACTTGGATCTTCTGAACACATTAGTACTGGGACTCTAATCTCCACAGAAGATCCAACTCTTACAACAAACTCAAGATCTAAGGCAGCCAGTAAAAAACTATCGTGACCCTATTACATTAGGCACTGTGGTGAATTAAAGATGTTAAGTCCCTGCGCTCATGAGTCCCAATGTTTTCCTCAGTTGTTGGAACTTAAGCAGAGACGGTGGGGGGAACAAAATTAACTTCACTATCAACTAAACTGGGGAAAAGGAAAAGGGAAGAATTAAGTTTTTTGTGTTGGGTTTTTTGGGGGTTTTTTTGCTTAAAAAATTAGCAGTGAAGCAGCATTTTTTTATTTAAAACAAATAGTAAATGACTAAGTCACTTCAGACACTGTCCCGTAAACCACCCAGAGACCGTCTAGAGGAAGGTCATCAATCACAGTTTGAAAACCACAGATTCACAAGAATATATCTGTCAATGGAGGGATTTTTTTCAGCCAGGAAGCAACTCAAAAGACCCTTCTTACTCTCAGCAGTGCAGTAATACCAATTGCTATTATGAGCCAATCAGACACTGACTGATTAGTGTTTCTCCATTTACATGGGCCACAATCTGTACTTGAGTACCTCCTACCCACCCACACCCACCTCCTTTCCTTCATCTAAACGCCCTATTTTCTCCATCCCCACCTTCCTTATCCGCTCTAACTCCACCCGCACTTCTCCACAGCAGGGCATTTTGTGTTGCCACCAGGTCCACCAGCTGAGGCCTCCTGGATTTGTGGTGTGAGAGCAGAAACAAACTGAACCCTTTCCCCATGCTGGCATATTCGCGTATAGAGAGGCTCGAAGGTTTAAAGTTCAAGGCTACCTGACTGTCACACAGCTCTTTCAACAGAGGTCAGGGATCAGCAGCACACGTCTGGAAAAGGGAAACTGAGTACCCTAGTCCCTTGGAGCAGGCAGCTCACCGCGTACCATCACTCAAACACCTCTCCCTAGAAAGTCACGTCCTGCCAGGGGCCTGAGAAGGTTCTTCCCAATCCTGTGGACCGACTAGGCCAGAGAGAAACAAGGTCCACTAGCCCGCATGGTTTATAATCTTTGGGATGGGTTCCCCCTAATTCATACTACCGAGTAAAGTATAAAGCTACCATTCAACATTCAGACATTCCACTATGCCTAAAATTTAGACTGCTTTTCTTTACACTTCCTATTTGATATAAAAATGGTATTAAAACAAGAACAGTACATCACAGGACCAGGCAAGATTCTACTAAATTCAATTCACCTTTAAATTATTTACCAAGAGATATTCTGCAACGTAACAATATTAGAGCAGATTTGCCTGCTGAGTCCAATGACATGCCAATCATCATAAGCAATTGATGTGGCAATAGGGAATCTCTCAAATATCTTCCTTCCAGATCTAGCTATTCTCTGGAGAAAAAGAAAATCTGTATCAAGACTGAACCACTGCCTAATATGATGAAACCAAGATGCATTTGTTACTAAACTCCTGCATTTCTCACTTTACTAACAGGGAGTAGCAGGAAATACAGTACCATCCAATAACTATTTCAATGGACTCCCACTCTTCATTCTCTGCTACTGAACAGAATAAAATATTAATGGTCAAGGAACCATAAATCAAATCATCACACTTTTACATGCATTTTCCTATACATACTCACCTAACAATACATAAACACACACACATGCACACACACGCACGTGCGCGCACACACACACACACACACACACTATGTATATGTACTTTATAAATTTGCCACGCTGTTTAACTGACTTTAAATACCAAAAAGTTCATATTGCATACAGTTAAAACCATGAAAAAGAAGTAATCTTGAAGAAGAAAGAAAAGTCCATGAACTTCATAGTCCACATCCCAGATAAATGACTAAATGCAAGAGAAAGATAGAACTTAAGATGATAAATTGATACGAAAACCAAAGAGGTTACAATAATTGAGGTACCTTTTAGCACTAGTTGACAATTTAGCAGCTGTTTTGCTGGATATTTTTCCCTCCTTTTTCTTGGGCTGAACTTGCTCTCTTTCTGGCTCTTGCTGGACACTTTCACGTTGGTCTCCATCAGAACTTCCTCCACTAGTGCTTGGACTGTCATCAACTCTTTGTGCCTCAGTGGACATTTTAGATCCTGGATTAGAGAGTTAAAAATCATTTATTCAGTTGTGGGAGGACTGCAGTAAGGTACCTCAAGAAGAGAGAGACAGTGAATCTTAGAGGAACTAAGGAAAGCTCACTATAAAATGAATGACTTGGTCACTTTACAAAACAGCTTTGGGAATTGCCAAAACTTTTCTTTCATCCAAAGTGTACTGAGGAGGGAAATGAAAACATACAAAATATATACACAAAATGCTCACAGCAACATTATTCATAGAACCAAAAAGAGGAAACAACTCAAATGTCCACTAACTGACGAACAGATAAACCAAGTGTGGTATATCCAAACGATGGACTATTACTCAGCCACATAAAGGAATGAAGTATAGTATCTACATGTTACAACATGGATGAACTTTGAAGACATTATGCTAAGTGAAAGAAGCCAGTCACAAAGGACCTCTAACTGCATGATTCCATTTATATGAAACGTCCAGAATAGGTAAATCCACAAAGACAGAAAAGTCAGTAAGCGACTGCCAGGGGCTGGGAGTGAGGGAAGAATGGGAAAGGGCTGCTAACAGGTGCAAAGTTTCCCTTTGGGGTGATGAAATGTGCTTAAATTAGATAATGGTGATGTTGTACAACTCTAAATATTCTAAAAACCACTGAGTTACACATTTTCAAAGAGTGAATTTTACAGTATGTGAATTACACGGCAATAAATCTGTTAGCCAAAAAAACCTGAGGGCCTACTGCCCACCAGGCACTCTGCTAGGCCCTTTGGTCCCACAAGCATGAGAAATCTGATCCAGTGGGTAAGCCAACTTGCTAAGGGCTGTAACAGAGGTTAGTAAAAACAGCCGCAAGAACAGAGGAATGGGGCACACTTCCGCACCAATATCACGTGAATACATCCTCCGGGCTGGGCTAAGGTTAAAATCCTCTAAACCAGTCAATTGTTTGAAGTAACCTTTGTGATAACAGAAGAACACAGAGGCCTCCATGACTCTAGATAAAAACTGAGCCGTATCACAGTGCCAGCGCCGATCCAACAATATACCAAGCAACCACGTTTCACAGGAGATGAAGGCTTTATGGAAACAATGAAGGGTTCTTCCCCCCCCCCGCCAAGTCTGAATGAAATATCCCTCAAGGCTTTCAAATTCCCTGTGCCCTGAGTTCATGCTCCACAAGAACTCTGATTACCAACTCAATTTCCTCAATACCTTGGTACACAGGTACTGTAAGTTGTTACAACCTAGATAACACCAAAAAAGTGCCAGTCCTCTTCACAACTGTCATTCTATCATAATCAATTTCTGAGTTTGAGCACCATGAATACATCCCTTGTGACCCGGCTAGGTTAGAGTTTACTGACAAGTCCAAACCCAAACTGACAAAACCCACACCCAGACTCTCAACGATGTTACTGTCACCTCATAACCACTTGAGATGGTGCAGCTACCTTCTGAGGTACCTCTTCCTTAAAAAACAAAATTACCTTTAAGAAGTGACATTAGGGGCTTCCCTGGTGGCGCAGTGGTTGAGAGTCCGCCTGCCGATGAAGCGGACACGGGTTCGAGCCCTGGTCTGGGAAGATCCCACATGCCGCGGAGCAACTAAGCCCATGCGCCACAACTACTGAGCCTGCGCTGTAGAGCCCGTGAGCCACAACTACTGAGCCTGCGCGTCTGGAGCTTGTGCTCCGCAACAAGAGAGGCCACGACAGTGAGAGGCCCGCGCACCACGATGAAGAGTGGCCCCCGCTCGCCGCAACTAGAGAAAGCCCTCACACAGAAACGAAGACCCAACACAGCCAAATTAATTAATTAATTAATTTTTAAAAAAAAGAAGTGACATTAACAACACAAAATATACCTTTAAGAATCACAGATAAATGGGACAAATTCCTTTTGAAAAAGATACTATGTTACTCTCAACCAAATCAGGACTTGAAATAAAACTGTATTTGATAGATCGAGAATAAGAATCAATACGTAAAAGAAGGACACCTCAAATAAAGCACTGTTTTTTATTACTATAATCGGTCCAAATGTATAGCTAGCTGACAATGATTAAAACTCATCATCACCAAAGATTTAACTTGTAGCTTGCTCTAAATCAAAGTGATTTCCTAATACAGACCTTTAAGTGGTTGAAATTCGTATGGTAACACAAACCAAAAAGCACTGCAAGAGAACGGAGGAATCAGGAAGTACAGGGGGTGAAGAGTCAACAGAAATTCCTGAACGTCTTCAATAAGACAACACGCAAACACAGCACCACCACCCTCTCACCCTCAACGGCCCCCTCCTCCATGCAGCTCTGAAACACACAGGGAACCCTGACTGCTTTTCTCTCTACCCTGTAAATGGAGAGCATGAGTCTCCACAGCCGTGACATCTTTTATGAGCACTAAAGTCACTTAATAGAATCCTGAAACACACAGGGAACCCTGACTGCTTTTCTCTCTACCCTGTAAATGGAGAGCATGAGTCTCCACTGCCGTGACATCTTTTATGAGCACTAAAGTCACTTAATAGAATCCTGAAATTTTATATCAGTATGTTTCACATCTAGCTCTAACCGTCCTAACGTATTTCTTGCTTTTTTTTCCTTTCATTGCTATTTCACTTAAATTCTCACCCTTGGATTTAACACTGATTTCTTTTTTCAGCTTACTTCTTTCAGTAAAAAAAATATATCAGAAGTTGAAAACCTTATAAGTATGTATATAAGAGCATGTTAGATAGAGCAGATGTGCATGCGAGTAAGAAAGAGAAAAATTCTCAGAGAAAGGCCCTCAGACACAGCAAAATGCTGCTGGCAATATTTTGAGATATGTGAAATGAGTGAGAAATTATTTTATACGTCTTAAACCAGAAGCAATCCATTATATGACAAACATATGGAAACCTAAGTAAAATTCTTTTTTACTGAAACTCCAGCTTCAGTTTAATAAACTATGCCTAGAAATTCAGTTGTATATTACATTAGTTATAAAGCGACACGTTCATCTTAATAATTTTATTTATGTGTAACTACATAATATCTAATAATGCCACAAGTATATATAATTACTTAAAAGACTACTCAATGATATAATCTGGGCCATAATCTGAAACCCAAATTTCAGAAACTGCTCCAGAATATCAGAAGACTAAAATTAGTCTCACTAGAGAACTATTAAAATACCCAAATAGATGTATAATTTCTACAGTTTCACAATAAGGAAAAAAGATTATTTCCACTTTGGACCTAAGATACCTTATTTTGTCCAAATCTTAACCTACAGATGATAAATTTGCTCAAGGCCACGAATAACCACTATAGAAACTTGTAGAAACAAAGTTTTCATATCTTTTTCAAATATCAAGAGTAAGGGGAAATTCTGTGGCTGTTGGTTTTTGAATGCCTGCTTACGTAAAAAGTATGGGGAAAAACTAAGTGACAACTAATCTTTATGAAGAAAAGACTGTCTATAAGCATTTTAATTAGTTACAAGACTGGTGTTTTGTCTCTCTAAAGTACAAATGAATGAAACTTCCTGAATTAAAACTCTCTAAATGTTATCTTCTAAATCAGCGCTTTAAAATCATCTATTAACATTAATTCCTAAATAGCTAATTTGATCCAATTATCTAGAGTGAAGATGAACTTGAATCCCACCGTTATAAACATAGAGCTACTCTTCCATGATAGTTTCAAAGATATTAAGATACTTAAATTTTTGCCTTGTACTCAAAGTAAAACTTGGCTTCTAAACATAAAATAGTAAAGTAGAACTTTCCTCAAATGCGGGTTATATTAAGAGTTTAGATATCCTTCTTTCTTCAACACACAAATTACCTAAACCTGTATTAGCAATGTACTCCATGGAAATTAGCAACATCCAAAATGAAACTCACATGTTCCATAAAAATGAAATGATTTGGTTATAAATATTACTGATAAGGTAAAAACAACCATAGTCACTCCATAAATCCGGATTACTGTCCAGATAAGCCTTATAAGTGTACCTCATCGTATAAAACTGCAAAAGCAAATGTTCCTTTGAGCTTTTACAACAGGAAAACGCGTAATTCTGTCATCTGATTTCTTGCTATTTGTCTTCCCACTCACGTTTCCAAACTTTTCTAAAATGTAAAATAATTTATATTATATGCAGAATATCGAGCAATAGCCAGCTTTGCACTTACCTGCAGAGATATTTATGCACGAAATAATCGTGGAACACCCAAGTTTTGAGGAAAAGGTGCTATGTCCTGGAGGGGACCACCTTTCTATAATGGGCTATGACATTATATGAAAACCCTCCGTCATTGGCATCAGCCCACATACAAAACTCTAAACAGCCAAGGAGCATCCAAACTGAGTAAACACAAACAGTTAGATTCCCAAGGTCCAGACTGAATTACCACCTATTCAGAAACATACATTTTTAGGAATCAGGGATTTTAAAGCAACAACAACAACAACAAAAAAAAAAAACTAAGAAGAACTTAATATCTTTCTGAAAGGCGAGATACTCTTAAGGTAAACCCTAGCATTTCCTTTTGTACTCTTAAATAGAAATATTTGAGTAGACGCTCAAGAATACACAAGGCAAAACGATGAATCTTGAAGACATGCAAATAGGTCTAACAGCCACCGAGCACAGGATGAGGTCTTTCTAAAGCGGCCTTAATTTCCTTAAGGGAAGATGGATTGGACATTTCTGGTCGGTCGTGGGAAGAAAAACACAAGAAGCTACGCTTTATCTTCATTAGAAATGGTAAAGGGCAAAAGGATCAAAACACTAAGAGAGAAGAGAGAGGGAGGGGGGAGAAGAAGGGGAGGGCGGGGGGAGAATCCAGTTTCGAACCAGGCCAGTGGGAGCTGCAGAGAAGAGGTTGGAGAAAAATGGGCTTGGGCTCCAAACTGTGACAAGCGCTGGGCTTCACAAAAGACCAGGACAACACACACTCCACACCAGGGCAAACACAAACACACCCCACCGGGTCTCCAGGCGGGCCCCGGGGGGGCCAGACCCTGCACTCGCCCGGAGAGACACCATGTGCTGCAATTATGCAATTAGTGAAAATAGCAGAAGACCGAGCCGGGCACTTTCCACCGTGACATTTATCCTGTACTTTTGCAAAGACTTACTTCCAGGATGCGGCTGGAGAGGGATGGGGAACCGAGAACGGAAGGGGGTAGAGGATGGGCAGGGAGGGAAGAGGCAGGAGGAGGGGTGGATGGGGAGGAGGGGGAGGGGTGGAAAGGGCGAGAAACCGGGGCAGGAGGCTCGCGGGAGGGGGCGCGGGGACGGGGGCACGCGGGGCGCGGGGAGGGAACCGGGTCGCGAGCGGCGCCGAGGGGAGCGGGGGGTCGGGGCGGGGGCCCAACGGGTACCTGAGGGAGGGGCGTCCGCGCAGGTCGCGAGCTCGAGCCCCAGCCCGGGGAGAGGAGTCAGCGGAGGCGCGGGGGAAAGGGGCGCGGAGGAGGCCCCGGTGACGGGATGTCCCCTCGGACCGTCCGGTCACCGAACCCGGACCCGCGCACCGCGCACCGGACCGCCCGGCCACGCCTGTCCCCGCCGCGCCCGCGCCCGCCCAGACTCACCCCCGGCGCCGCCGCCGCCGCCGCCCCGGCCGTTCCAGCTCCGGCTCCCGAGGCTACTGCCCGCGGCTGTCGCTGTGGCCGCCCCTGAGTCCTGAAAAGTGGAGCCACCGCCTCCGTGAGCCGCCGCCGCCCGGCCGTCAGCGCGCGCGCCCGCGACTGCGCGTGCCCGCGTGCCCGCCCGGGAGAGACCGCGAGAGCGCGAGTCCCACGTCGGCCCGCCGCGCCGCGCGCCTCCCTGCCCCCTCCCCGCTCCGCCCCTCCTCCGCGGGCGCGCGGCCGCGAGGGGGCGGCGGCGGGCGCGCGCACGGCGGGGCCCCGCGGCCGGGCGAGAAGGCTGGAAGGCGGCGCGGAAAAGTGAAGTGACAGCCGGGTCCCGGGAGCGGGCAGCGGCGGGAGTGGGCGAGGGGCGTCCCATGGAGAAGGAGCGGCCGGGACCGGGAGCGGGGTGGGTGGGGGGAAACAGAGGCTGCCGGGCGGGCCGGAGGGAGGGGACGCGGGGACCTTGACGGGCACGCGCGTTAAAGGCAAACACTGGCCGGGGGTGGGGGGTGGGAGGGGGGGTTGCCCTAAGGCGAAGCAGGGGCGGTGTGTTACCCCCGGCCACCGCGGCCCTGGCTTCACACTGGCCTCGAAGCTTTCTCGAAGTGGCTACTGAACTGACCCTGTTGACACACTAACCGCAACTCGGACGCGTGGTGTCCACGTGCACCCAGGTTGGAAAACTTCGCTATGGCCTGGAAAGTTCGCCTAGGCTAAGCCAGCCTCTAAACCTGACATTGCAGCACGAGGGTCCTTCCGCCTTCAGGGCCCAGAATGTGGGAGCCAAGAGCTTCCAACCATTCATCCCGGGTATACTGGGGAGAGAGTGCGGCACGCGGGGGTGGGGGTGGGGGGTGGGGGTGGGGGGGTGGAGCACTCCCAGAGCGAGTGGGATGCTGCCCTAAGGTCCACTTGAAGGGTTATGAGAACAGGAGCAGTGCTGTGGGCGACCCGAGGAAACATTAGGTCCCCCTATCATCTTCACCCCAGATAACCATTAAAAAAAGAAAAACCTATGTCTGCTATGCTAAGTCGGCTTCCACAAAATTTCCCCCACCTCTGCAACTCAAGCAGCCATGAGACCCCAGAGGACAGGAGAAAGTCGAGATCTGTACATATGTCTAGAACTGAACGTCTTTTATCAAATGCCTTCTTCAAGAATTGACTATTACCTTTATAACATCCCTGAAAATTGCTTGTAGGCTCCATGAATCACCACTGAGCAAAACGTGGGTTTGTTCTGTGTATCAGTCAAGGACATCAACAGGCCCTGTTACCCTTAAGCTCTAAAATATGTACTGGAGGATTAGAAATTACCATATCCTGGGCTTATCGTTGATTATACAGCCACCTCTCTCTCACACATGGTGCAATATATTAGTAGGTAAAGATGACATAAAATGCATCGTATTTTTTTAATACTTAGAATATGACCAAGTTAAAGTATTTCATAGACTGCCTTAAATGTCTACGTAACTTATTTTACCTCATGAAATCCGTGTGTATTAATATTCTCATTGTATTGACTGTGTTTCAGTATGTTTTGCAACTGTCTGGTGAGGATAGATGACAGAATCCCCATTTCCTAGGTCTCTGTGCTTTTCTCCAAATAAACTACTCTTTTGTATACTCTTAGGTGTATATCCTGTTGGTTTCTGTTTGTTCACAATGACTATTTTGTAATAAAGTACTCTTCTGTTACAGAAAGTTATCCAGGTTGACTTTTTCCGTCCTGGTCATTGGCAGCTGGGGGCCAGGGATGCAGAAATGGCAACTTCTAACTTTGTGAAAGGACTGGAAAAGGCTTCACTGCTCAAATGCTGAAACTGTAGTTGCTACAGGACTTCATTTATCTGTAGGTGTTTTAACTGCTATATACTATTCACTGAGTTTAAGAAGGGCATCATAATACAAATCACAGTTATGCTTTTCACTGATTCAAGGAATATTTGTCGAGTACCAGGCACTGTCTAGGTGGTTGGGATATAACATTTCCTCTCAGAGCTTTTCTGTCATTGACTCGTTGTTTTACACACTACATCCAATTCCTCAGCAAATTCTGTTAACTCTGCTTTCGAAAATATATCCTGAAAGTATCCATTTCTTCCCATCTCCCTCCCCACAGCTAATTCCCTGGTCCAAGCCACCATCATCTCTCAGCAACAGCCTCTTACCTGATCTTTCTAATTCCCCTATCCACTTCCCCACACACCCCAGCCCCCATCCTACACACAACATAGGTTGAATATGTGATCCTTTACAACGTAGGTTAGAATAGGTCTCTCCTCTTTTCAAAACCTCAGGTGGCTTCTTGTCCTAGAACCACAGCCAGAGACCTTACAAAGGCTGCATGCCACTACAGGATTTGACTGCCACCCCAGGCAGGACCCCTCTGACCTCACGTTGTATGACTTCCCCCTCTTTTCTCCCTCCAGCTGCACTGGTCTCCTTGCTAGTGTGGAACGCACCAAACGTTTCTCAACCAACAGTTTCCTATCTCTGTAACGTGCTTCCCTCCCCCAGCGCCTCCTATCTCCCTTCTCTGCTTTATTTTTCTTCATGAGCATCATAAGAAATCGGAAATAACATACTTTTTACTTATTTATTTTAGTCCTCCCCTTCTCCTCTGCTCCTCTGTCCCTCTCCCCTCTACATATAAGTACTTTGGAAAGAAGGATTTCGTTGGCTGGGGTTCATTGCCATATATATATTCAATAAATACTAGTTGAGTGAATGAAATTGCCCTCTTTCAGTTGCTGGCATGATAGACATTATTCTAATTTCTTCAATAATAACATTAGCATTTAGCGTGTTCTTAATTTGTGCCAGGCAAAATGCTAGCACTTTACATATACTAGCTCAGAAACACCCCATAAGGTTGGTTTCATTCAGTCACTTCCACTTGAAAGATGAGAACACTGAAGAGAAGGGGAATGAAATCACTTGCCCACAATCATACAGCACATCTGGGATCTGGAATCAGCAGTTTGGCTCTAGAGTCTGTGAATGTCAGGACACTTCAGCATGAGTCCAGTGTTAAAAAAAAATAGATTTTACTTGATTTTCTCAGTTCCTCTCCCCTGAGACTTAAACTTGGTCTCCAAAACAAATAGCTCACCTTCTTTCGATTTCCTGCTCTGGTCCATCAATGCATCGTCGTGAACTCCCTCCCTCCTCTCCTACACTTCTTTCTAGGCTTTAATATAGAGCCCACATTTTACCCTCTAGAATTGGCAAATGGGAATGTTTTTGTAGGTCTCTTCTTATAACTTTTGTTACTGCCAGCTTTGTGAGTAGCTAGAGTCACCATTAGTTTTCTAGTTTGACTAGAAAGGTGATGAAAAAGACCTCTCTGGGGATAACTGGGCTGGATTTCAGCAAAACACATCACCCTGGTAGAGCTGCTCCTTGGTTACACAACTTCTATTCTCATTAGGCACCCAATGATCAGGGGTTGTTAAACATTTGGATTGTACCCCTCGGAGGAAATATCAAAATATCATTATTAGTCTGTTTACCAAACTAATAATGGATCCTGAGAGAATGGGATAAAAGTCAATAATCTTTTGCTTACGGCCTCGTTTGAAAGGGGCCATAGGCACCCTGTGGTCCCTCTGAATGTCTTGGATATTTAAGAACCCTGTGGGAAAATTGAAGCCCCATTAGAGCTGAAACCCAAAGACCCCACTACCTAGTATAGCACCAACACAGAGGCATGCACCAGGTGTTTAACAAATGCTTGTTGCCCAGATGAATAAATGAATTAATTCTTAACAGAGAATGGAAGGGATTGAGGACAAATCGCCCTGACTTTCCCACTTGGGCCACCATGTACAGTTGTGTATGTTGCACACTGCAAAACATCAGATGGCACCATTCACATAAATGAAGATGCAAACACAGAAGTCTGGCTGTTCCTCCCACCCCAGCCCCTGCCCAAGAATGGTAGTCAATCTCAAAGACGGCCCCAATGATGCCTGCCTCCTGGTATTCACACCCTGGTGTAGTCACTTGCCACATCCTACTAAGGTTGGTTGGTATTCCACTGAGATGGGATAGTACATCACTACTGAGATTATAAAAGACATTAGGGCTTCCATCTTGGTCCTCTCTGTCCCTCTGTCTCTCTCTCTCTCGTCACTCACTTCGGGAGAAGGTGGCTGCCATAAGGTGAGTGGCCCTATGGAGACACCCATCTGACTACAAACTGAGGTCTCCCCCTGATACCCACATGAGTGACCTAGAGTCCTTCCACCTTAGCTGAGCCTTCAGATGATGCCACCCCACTGGACACCTGCAGTGCAACCTCATGAAAGACCCTGAGCTGGAAACACCCAGCTAAGCCAGTCTTGAACCTTGAGATAATCAACGGTTTCAGGCACTAAGTTTTGAGGGTCATTTGCTGTACATCAGTAGGTAGTAGAGACTCACTTGAGTCTGCTACTTTTTCTTGCAAACATTCTCCCCGTCAGTCACAGCAGTGTGCCTCCCAATATCCTACACTGTTTAAAAACCCCTATTTTGCTGTGAGCAACGCAAGGGCAGAGACCAAGGATTATTTATCTCTGTGTCTACACTTTAGGATAAAGAGTAGGCACCCCATAAGGGCTGGTCAAATCAAGGAATATACCTGCTATTCAACTGCCATTTCCTCAATTTATGGAACTTTGGGAGGTAGGTTTCTTAGTGTGCTATGTCTTTTATTTCAACAATCATTTCAAAGAATACACGAGCTCTTTACTATGTCTTAGAAGTTCAGAAGTATATTAACGAATATTTTCCAGAGCTTTATGAACATTCTGGCCCTCTCAGCAGATTCCATTAAGAAAAATTATGGGGCTTCCCTGGTGGCGCAGAGGTTGAGAGTCCGCCTGCCGATGCAGGGGACACAGGTTCGTGCCCCGGTCCGGGAAGATCCCACATGCCGCGGAGCGGCTGGGTCCGTGAGCCATGGCCGCTGAGCCTGCGCACCCGGAGCCCGTGCTCCACAACGGGAGAGGCCACAGCAGTGAGAGGCCCGCGTACCGCAAAAAAAAAAAAAATTATGAAATCTCCTTATATGTGACCAAAATGAAGAAGATGCTATTTGCTCTCTTTATCTCATTGCTTTTTTCCCTGTACAGTCACC